TACTTTCCCAAGGAATACAACTGACACGTATTGCAAAAACTGTGGGAAAGAAGGAAGACTGAGGCTTTAACTGCACTGTCAAAACCCTCAGCAGATCCCTTAGCAGAAGAGAGGCGCTCCATGCCACGGTCACTGCTCTGATTCAGTACCTGCTTCCAGTTTTATACCGCAGGGCCGACTCATGTGTGGTTCTGGGCCATGCACCAGCATTCTACTCAGGCGATCTTGCTTCCTGGCCTTACTTCCCATTTCCCTAGTGACCCAAGACAGCCTCTGACCCCCAGATTACCCCACCACCCCTCTTCCTCTTTCCTGATGCTGTCTTATACATTGTGCTCGCAGTGTCTTGGGTTAAGAAGGCTCTCAGACTGATAGCCTCTTAGGACTCTTATTTGTCACCCAAAACCCAACTCTGCATAATGCAGCTTTCACTGGGATGTGTCTGGGCCCAGACTTCCTGTTCTGATTTTTAAGTCCCTTTCAACCCTAGGGCCAGAAGTCACAGGAAGACAGAACACTTCCTTCCAAGGAAGAGGTGCACTTCCACAGGAAAGCAGCGCCTGATGGGCAGGGCGGGGGGGAGTGTACCCCTGCAGGAGCAGAAAAACGAGGCTGGGCTCCTTCCGGCTCAGACGCGCCTCCTGGGAGCCACAGCCCCACAGCCAGCCTCTCCTGCCACAGAGCAGGGGTTGGACTCAGGCCTCTTCTAGCTAAGTGGTATTTGCCAATTTCAGAGGAACATTTGGGATCTTTTCCTACACAATAGCTCAGTATTTTATCTGTTTTTTATGTTGTGGACAAATGGGTTGTAAGTGAACCTGAATCACATTTACCCTCTTGGAAGCACTTCCTAAAATCTCTGTTCCTTCAACATGCCTCAAATCATTTAAGATCCATTTTAAAATCTACTATAACTGTTACCCTTCATCCAAGAGCTCTGTGTTATTGTTTTGTTTTGCTTTGAGACAGAGTTCTGTTTTTTTTGTTTGTTTGAGACAGGGTCTCACTATGTAGTTAAGGGTGGTCTTGAACTCACTATGTAGCCCAGACTGGCCTCGCTCGAACTCCTAGTGATCCTCCTGCTTCAGCCTCCCAAGTGCTAGGATACAGGCATGTGCTACCACACCTGACCAGAGTTCTGCTCTATAACCCAGGTTGGCCTCAAACTCACCATCCTCCTGCCTCAGCCACCCGGATGCTGGGATGACCCATAACACTAACCAAACTATCAATCAGGAGTAAAAGCATAATAAAAAATATTTTGGAGCTGGAGATACAAATCAATCAGTGGGAGAGCATTTGCTGGCATGTATGAAGCCCTGGTTTTGATTCCCAGGACCAAAGAAGAAAACAAAAGAAAAACAAATCTACAAAATAATACATATGAAGTAACATTCCATATATACTTTTCCAAGAGCTCCTAGAAAACGTGTTTTATCAAAATTAGGAACTTAGCGACAGAGGTAGGTTTGTAGGAAACAGAGAATCCAACGTAGACAAAGTTAAGATGGTTTCAGAATGACTGTCGTATCAGGCTTCTCCAGAGAAAGAACCAAAATAACTGTGTGTGTGCGTGCGTGTACACACATACTGGCTTTATTACGTGGGACCCGGTCTGGGGATCCTGAAGGCTGAGAACCTGCTGGTCTGCTGTCTCAAGCTGGGAACCCGGGAAGGGTGGTGTCGTGACCCCAGAACCAATGCAAAGGTCCAAGGCCCGGTGGAGCCGGCGGTGAGTCCGGAGCGGGAGAACCAGGAGCACCAAGGTCCAAGGGCAGAGGCGGATGCCCCAGCTTCACCAGAAAGAGCAAACTTAAGTGTTATGGGTTGAGCTGTGTCCTTTATGTTGCATCTTAAGCCCCTGTACCTCAGAATGTGAACTGATCTGGAAACAGGGCCACTGCTGATGGAATCAGTTGAGATGAAGTCACATGCAGTACGGTGAGCCCTAGTCCAACATGACTGATGCCCTTACAGTGAGATGTGCAGGTGAAAATAGATACATAGGAGAAGATCGTGAAGCAAAGCAAAGAATGGAATAGCACAGCACAAAGTGAAGGGGCACAAAGATTGCCAAGAAACCAGCAGAAATCCCAGAGGCAACTAGGAAGAATTCCCCAACAGTTTCAGAGGGGGCTTGGTGCCGATTTCTGATTTCTAGCTTTCAGAAATGAGAGACAATAAATACCTGGTACCTTCTAAAGCCACAGTTTGGCAGCCATAAGAAGCTTATACAGTTGGGTATAAAATTCTACTCTGGAAATCATTTTTCCTACAAACGTAATAGCTGTCTCCTAGCTTCCAGTGCTGCTGAGCAAGCACATTGAGTTCTGATCCCCAGTCCTCAGAATGTACCCTGTCATTCCCTCTGGAGACCTTTAGGATCTTCTATTTATCCCTGGAACTCTGAAATTTCAGGACTATGTGTTAAGTAACCAGGAATATTCAAAAAGAGGAAAATAAAAATCCATAATCCCAATTTATAAAAATAGTTCCTATTCCTAACAGAGTGGAAAAGCCACATAGTTTACTGGAGGCACTGGGTAAAGAACTTAAAGGGGTACTGGACTGTCATAGTACTGGGGTTCATTTAGTCCTACACAAAAGGATGGATTGGTTCCACCTAACAAAGATCAAAATCAAGCCTCAAAATGACAAAATTGTTTGCAAATGAGAAATTTTTTTAATGGCTGATGAAAAAAATCAGCAGGGATGCAAGAAGCAGGAAACTGAGAGCCATAATGGAGAGAAAATCATAGAAAAAATGCCAGAAATAGTATGTGATAAAACTAGTACACAAGGACATTAAAATTACTACATTTTATTCTTATGTTTAAGTAGCTATAGGAAAGACTGAGGATGCTGTGACATGGAAAATGTAAAACACACACACACACACACACACACACACACACACACCCCTCTAAACAAAACTAGTAGAGATAAAATTCCAAGGTCTGAGGTGAACTTCATGGGAGTATGAGAGAGTATCGGATACTGAAAAAGCCAATTAGTGAACATAAAGGCATAGCAATAGGTATTATCCACAAGAAGGTATGTACGAAAAAAAGCTTGGGAAAAATGACCAAAAGGAGAGGAGCAAGACCTGAAAGGGAAACACTTGAAGAAATAAGGACAATGTCTGCACTCGCCTTGCTCCACATGGTATTTCTAGCACAGCGCCTGGCAGACATTTAACGACCATCTACTGATCACAGATGTGACAGAACAAACGCTAACAGTGTCCTGTGTACTACTGCAGGCCATTAGGAGCACCAGAAGACAAAGGGAAACAACACGGAGAAAGCAGTCTTTCATCAGACCTGGAAAATGAGTTCAGGTGAGTATGCAAAACATTTGGAGAATCAGAGATTAAAAAGGGCCTTCTCTCCCGCACTAAGCAGAGCTGACGGAGCAAGGTCACAAGTTCAAGTCCCTCCAGCACAAGCCCATCTCCAAATAAAAAAGATAAAGGACCGGGGCTGTTGTTCGGTGTTAAGACGGCTCCCGGGTTCAGTCACCACTCAAGCATGGGTTGGTGGCACACAACTGTAATCCCAGCACACTTCGAGGCTGAGGCAAGAGGATAGCAAGTTTGAGCACCAAAGCACTGTCTCCTCTCCCCACCTGGTTATGTTTCATGCTCTCTGCACTTTCCACACCTACTCCAGATATGGGGAAGAGATCTACAAAGAGTATTTGCAGTATGTCATTCCCATACTTAGCTCTCCCCTAATCCTAGACTTTAAGAACTTAAAAGGACCGGGCACTCTACTAGGCTGGGGCAGGGGGATCACAAGTTGGAATCTAGCTGGGACAACTTGGAGAGACCTTGTCCCAGAATTTAAAAAATAAACAAGGAGGATGTAGCTCAGTGTGGAGGGCCGGAGTTCAATCCCCATCACTCACAATAATAATAATAATTTAAAGGACCTCAGTGTGGAGAACACCTTAAAATAAGATGGAATTGTATAACCCTAAGTGTGCTGTAACCATAAGTGTGCTGTAACCCTAAAGTGTGCTATGACTTTAAGAGTGCTGTGAGTGATATGTAACCATAGTAACCATAAGATATAGAAGTAGAACCTTAAGCGGTGTGGAATTGATAAGGATGCACCCCGAACTGGACAGGGCGTGGTCCCAAATGGACAGTGTGATAAGTCTGAACCAATACCACAAACGCCCAGTTAGAATAGTATAAAAGGAGCTGAAGACCTCAAGCAAGTCGACGATCCGTCCCACCGACCAGTCTACTAGTCAGTCTGTTGATCTGACTACCGACCGGGACACATGCACCTGATCCCGCTGGAAGGAGCATCGCCGCCGACCAGACGAGACCAGAGGACGAGGCCAGCAGAGAGACGGACAGCCTAGCGCCGAATCGACGCCCTTCGTCTACGGATCGGACCCTCTGACCCTGCGGGAAGAAACGTCGCGCTCCCATAAGGACTTGCGCAGTACAGGTACAGGGACGTGGTAATTGGCAGACTTAATTTTGTCTTATTTAATATCGTGTGATAATTGCATAGAAGTGAATTATAATAATATAAGTGTGTGAACTGCCATCCGAGTCTGAGTCCTCTTTACCCGCGGTACCTGCTCGCGACACTCAGAGACTGGTCTTCTCGCTGTACAGATGGGGAAACTGAGGCCACGGGCGGTTCAGTAAGGAGTCTAGGTTCATAAAGATGCCAAAGATCAAGCTTGGACTAGACCCAGGCTGCCTGACTCTTCTGCGGCGAGCAAAGCATCCCACGCGATGGGCTCTGGAGCACAGGCCCAGGCGTTGACTAAGAGTCCAGGAAAATAACCTTTTCAACCTCAGACGCCGGGACCGGAACCGGAACCTGACATCAGTAGCACTTCCCCCAGATATCGCGATACTACGGCCCGCGCTCTTCCGGTCCTTGCCAGACTCCGCCCCACTGCCGCGGCCGCTCTGTCGTCATTTCCGGTGTGCCTCTGTCGCGGAAGGAGAAGATGGCGGCGCTGGGAGAACCTGTACGGCTGGAGAGGGGTGAGTTCGCCCGGTGTCTGGACCGGAGCGGGAAAGGGCCGGGTCGTCGGCGGGGAGGAGGGCAGAGGAGGGGCGGCCACCGGCCCCGAGCCGGCCTGTCCGCGCCGAGCCGGCCGCCGTCCTCGCCGGGTCGGCGCGGGGAGGACACCTGATGCTGGGCTTCCGCGAGGAGCCGAACCTGCCTGCGATCGCGCCGAGGGACGGTCCCGGGTGGTGCTGTCAGGCGCGACCTCTGCTCTTCCTGGGGCACCCGCGAGCCCGAGGAGCAGATGTCGTCACCCTGTCATTGCACCCGACCTGGGGAAGCTTGGGTTCGCGGCGGCTCCCCTCCCTCAGGCCGCCGAACACCCCTGCGGGGCTCTCCCCTCCCGCCACCCGCCTGCGTGGGTTGGGCTGTGCCCCAGCCTCGGTGCCCCTACTGGGAACGGAGAGGGTGCCTTACAGACAATCACGCCGGCCCGAGCCTACAACGGGGTTACGTAACTAAGTGGGGTAGTGGCGGATGGTGGAACACTTGCGGGCGCAGTGACATTTCTGTCTACAGTTGCAGACTGTGGTTGGCTGCTTCCCGGAGCCGAATGGTTCAGGAAAATGAAACCTGTGTAGATAGCAAGGAGCCTGTGCAAACACCTGGACGTGCCCCTCCCAGGGTCCTTGTTCCACCCCGTTCTCCCCAGACCCTTCCTTGCAAACAATTCAAGCATACTTCTGACACCAGCATTAGCAGTCATTGGTTAGTCAGCAGGTACCAAGTAAACGTTTTCAGCACTACTGGGAAGCACAGCTTAGCATAGAGAATGAAGTTATTTTGCACATGGTAACATGTGCAGTTACAGTCTGAATATTAATGTTTTTAAGAAGGAACTACATTTTTAGAATCATTGTACATAGAGTAACCTCTCTCCTCGTGCCTTCCCACGGGCGGATGTGCACTTGGGGTTGTTAGCTGTGCTCCTTCTGGCCTTTTTTTAGAAATGAGGTTGTTTCTCTCCAGACGACCAAGACATTGATGAAAGCATCATTTTATGGCAGAAGAGAAGCTACCTGGGGAGACTTGCACAGTTAGCTTAAGACTGAGACATCTTCTCGGCACAGTGGTGATGAGTGTGAACAGGGGTAGGTGTTTTTTATTTGCAACCAGAGCTGTAGGATACAAACAATCCTTTCCTCCTTGTGTTGACAGTCATTTGTAGTTTAAATGGAACACGGAGTGTGGAACTTCACCCTCGGGCATTTAGCTTTGACAGTCTTGGCTTTGTGATTATGTTACAGGTACTAGTAATGGCCATTCAGCAGGATAAGAAGGTCAGATTGCATCAAGTCTTCCAACAGACTCTTAAACACTCCCAGCAGTCCTACAGTACAGAATAAGTGTACATGAAATGAGATCTTAAATCATCAGAATATAATTCATTGGCGCACAGTTTGAGCACATATTGGGTACAGTTTAGATTTGATAAAGAGTATTTTACTTTTTTCATCTTGATTGAATTTCATATTTATTTATTTATTTAGAGATGTTGGGGATCAAATCCAGGGCCTTGAGCATGCTAGGCAAGTGCTCTACCACTGAGCTACACCCCAGCCCCTGGGTCTGTTGGTCACATATTTTTATTTGGCTTTCATATTGTGACCTAAAAATAACTGACCGACCCGCAGTCCCATTTGCCAGCCATTCTGCTCATGGGAAATTGGAATGGAAGAGGTCTGTTTCCATTACATTTGATTAATATTGGTTTAAGCTTTTAGTACCCAAAACTGAAAAACTGTGTGCTTTTTTTGTGACTTTAGTGTAACATGTAGGAACGTCTTCCACTCGGGTTGGAAGTCAAGGGATAGAATAGCAGGTGTATTAAGCATCCTGTGGTGCAAAACAATTAAGGAGAACACAACAGCAAAACTCATGAATGCTGTGGCATCATGGCTGAATCTTGTACGGGTCTTCATTCCTAGAACGCATCATCACGCTTCCTAATGACAGCTGCTTAATATGTTGGTGTGAATGTGTACAGCCCCGGTACTTGTTTAGGGTTCGTGGGTGCTGGCATGACCTAACACTTAGCTTGCCAGGCCCCTTTCTGTGTGGCACTTGGCTCCACCCTGAGCCCCTCTTCTGAGGAAAGTAGCTCTTCCCATTCTACAGTGAAAGAAACAGATGCAGGAAGGTGAAGCCGCTGGCCCAGGACTCCTGGCTGGTACTGAGACCAGATTGACAAAGCTGATTGTTTTCAGTCTCTAACTTGTATTTCATTGAGCGTGTGTGAATTAAAACACTGTGTTAGCGACCCTAAGCTAAAACAGACCATTCCTTTGTACTGTCCGCCACTGCCTGGGTCTGTGGCTGACAGTCCCTACCTGGGTGTGTACCACATTTCCTTCCGGACGTGGATGGTGATCTCCTCCCAATGTGGGCTCTTGCAGGATCCGGGCTTCTGCTTCCTTCGGAATTCATGAAATTTTTATTGACTGATAGCTGCTCAGAATACAGCCAGCTTTTCTGGAGCCGTAGGTTGCTCCTGTGTGTGACACTTGAGACCCGGTCCTTTCCTGCTTTCCTGGGACATTTGGTATCTTACATTCAGTTTGTGTGCAGCTCTCAGATTGCTTTTCAAAGTCTGTGCTTCTGTAATCCCGGGATTGTTTTCTAATCTCTAAAATGTAGTGTGCTCTGATTTTACACTGCTGCTCCCCATGCACACACACTTGCATCCTGAGGCTCCCCCTCTATTTTCTGCACCGCACTCGTTGTTGGGAGTGAGGACCCCCTGTGTGTCTTGTCTCTAGATATCTGCAGAGCGATCGAGCTGCTGGAGAAGCTGCAGCGGAGTGGGGAGGTGCCACCACAGAAGCTGCAGGCGCTGCAGAGAGTCCTCCAGAGCGAGTTCTGCACGGCCGTGCGGGAGGTGAGCCAGGCTCGGCCGGCATCAGCAGGGTGGGGTCAGGGTTGGCCAAGGGCAGGTGCTGACCTTTGCCTTCAAAATCTCCTAAGAAAACAAACTGCAGGAAAGCATTAGGCCTTGTTCCTCTCATGTTTTGGAATTTTCAATAGAAAAATATTTGGCTTTTTAAATTAAAATTTTATTAAACATCAGTAATTTTTACAAAGCAAATACTAATAGCAAGAGGCAAAAGAAAAGGTTTTACCAAGATGCATAACTTTGCTTAAAATTTCAATACGTTCACTACCATGGCGAGAACCTAGGCGCATTGTGTTCCAAGACCTGAGGCATGATGGCCGCTCTGGTTTGCAGGTGTACGAGCACGTCTATGAGACAGTGGACATCAGCAGCAGTCCTGAAGTGAGGGCCAATGCAACCGCAAAGGTAAAGCAAGAGTTCCTCATAGATGAGAGGTGGAAATGTGCAGTTAGTAGATGCGTAATAAGTGTATTCTGAGACCCAGCATATGATATCGTTCAAACTCTACTACACTTGTCAGAATAGGACATTTTCATTGGCTGTCTGTATTTCCTCATGCAGTGTAGATAAGGAGTGGAAAGTGTCTTCGCCCAGTACCACGTTGTAAGTATCATACTTACACGTACATATTGCCCGTCTAATGTGCTGATTTTGTGGCTGACGAGGAGGCCCCCAGGTTGGCTCCCAGCCTCAGACGCACAGAGAATAGGCAACAGGGCTGGGTGCTTCCGCTTGCTGTTCAGACCCCCCTTCCCTCTGCGCTGTGGGGTGATGTCAGCCAGCGGCCTCCCGGGTGGGGTGGGCACGTTTGCACACTTCCTCCACACCAAGCTGGGTCCCGATGGTTTGGAAGACCTTGGTGTTCACAGAGGGTGAGTCGTACTCGAGTTAGTTATTGGCAAATAAATTTTTATTGCTAGTTAATGTTTCACCAAACCAAATACTGGATTTTTTGCTCAATACAAACACTTAAACGTGTGGGTGTAGTTTGTCAGATTTGGTTTTTATATCAGAAATGAAAAAAGTATTTTTAAAAAGACAAAAGAACCCAGGGAAGCAGGGTGAGGGTCAACATACGATGCTTTCTTTCAGGCCACTGTGGCTGCGTTTGCAGCCAGCGAGGGACATTCTCATCCCCGCGTGGTGGAGCTGCCGAAGACGGAAGAGGGCCTCGGCTTCAATATCATGGGGGGCAAGGAGCAGAACTCTCCCATCTACATATCTCGGATAATTCCCGGCGGGATTGCAGACAGACACGGGGGCCTCAAGCGCGGAGACCAGCTCCTTTCTGTGAATGGAGTGGTGAGTCTTTCTTTGTAGTAACGCATTGTGGCCATGTGGGGGTGCACTTGAGTCACCGGAAGGGTGACCCCACTGCGAGTGGGGACAGTGCAAGGCGGCCAGAGTCCCCAGCGCTGCTGCTTAGTGCCCTAAGGTTTTGGGAATTGAACCCAGGGCCTTGTGTACCCCACGAGCTCTGTGCACTGTGTCTGGGCCCCATCCCCAGCCCAAGGGTGTTTTTAAAGCCTTAAGGTGGGGTTGCACCCCTGAGGTGAACTGTCAGCACCCTGGGCCCTCTGTGAGCTTCGCTCTCCGCTGCTTGTCCCTGGGCAGAGCAGCGTGGGTCGGTGCCTGCTCTGGGGGGTCTCAGTTCCCGGGCAGCCGTGACCGCGGGAGTGCACTGCTGAGGGCAGGAGTAGCCCTGCAGCTGGGTCGGAAGCCGACAGCGCGTGTCCCGCAGAGCGTGGAGGGTGAGCACCATGAGAAGGCCGTGGAGCTGCTGAAGGCCGCGCAGGGCAAGGTGAAGCTGGTGGTGCGCTACACGCCCAAGGTGCTGGAGGAGATGGAGTCACGCTTCGAGAAGATGCGCTCGGCCAAGCGCAGGCAGCAGACCTAGCACGGCCGCCTGCAGACGCCTGTCTTCACATCAGTGCGGTTCCTGGGATGCACACACTGTTCGCTGACACGAAAAGTCAGAGGTGACGAGGGCGATTCTGTCCTGCTGTTTTTACAGGCCTTTTTCAAGTACAGATTTTTGTCATAAAGTTGTTATAGATTTTTAAAAATGCTTTTTTAATATTAAGATGTACTTTTACATTCTTAATCTTTTTTTAAGAAAAAAGTTCTCATTTGGCTACTTATTAACAGTTCTCCAATTTTTTTTTCTTTTTTTTGCTTTGTTTTTTTTAACCTGTGAAATTTCTTTACAGTTTTCCAAGAAATTACACCTGATAGTCTCATGGATAGTGGTTCATTACACCGTCAACGTTAACGACACTACTGCATTTTGTACTTTGAATACACACATAATATATAAACACACGGAAGAGCAGAACTCAGCATAGTGGAGGTTTTTTACTTTTATTTAAACATAACGTGTAATGGACGTTCATTTATAGTGATTTATAAGAGTAAGTTTTTAAACACTGAAGCATTCATTGCTAAAATCCGTATTCTTTCCTAATCGAGCAGCGAGGCAAGAGGATGAGATTCGATTGCTAGCATCCCTGATGATGCCCCTATTGATATTCAACCTTAGGTCGTAAATTAAAAATGCGAGTCGGTGGCAGATTCATCTTGTGCACCTGTTTCCTGAGCTGGTTGTTTTCCTTTAGATCTTCTCGCACTCGGCTCCTTCAAGCCCAAACAGGAGCCGGTTAGTTTGTGGTGGGAAACAGCAGAGTCAGAAGAAACAGCGACGCCTCCTGCCTCCCCTTCTGCATGCTCACCAGCTCAGAAAGAATGGATTTTAGCAGGAAAGAGGACAGGATTGAGATGTGTGGAGGGCGAGGGCGTAAAGGTCGCAGCCTGGAGGAAGATACCTGCAGGCCTTCGTCCACTGGGGGCCTCTGTTTCGCTGGAAGCAGCTGCTCGGGAATGGCCGCGACAGGGTGCCTACGAGCGGATGTGAAAGTTGAGTTCATTTCCCATCACAACCACCTGGAACCCTGTACTGTAAAACGCATGTAGATGGCAGACGCTAAAAAGACATAGATTGAAAAGGAAAAAGGATTTGACGTAATTTCCATCCTGTGTTAACAAAGTGGGCATTCTGTAACATTCCTACAGGAAGATAGAAATGTATACCTTTTTCTGCATGTATATGAGCACTGAGTCTTAAAAGATGATTCCAGTTTTCAGTGGTTTTCCAGAATAAAAGCGTTGTTATTTATCCTTTAGGTACTGAACACTGGATTGCATGGTTGAATGTGTCTTTAGTCCACGCGAAATGTGCTTGTTAATAGGATCATGTTGTTCAATTGTATATCTTCAAAATTAATTGATATGCTTTTCAAATGTTGAGACCAAAGTAGTATAGTAGAATTATGGACTTAATTTAATTGTAAAGTTACTAGAGGTATTTGTTGTAGAGCTTTATATATTAAAGAGGTATTGGTGCATATACAAACTGTAATATTATTGTTATGCTTGTGTTCTTGCATTCCGGGGCGGTTTAGCCCCAAAGAAGTCTTTCTTACAGCTACAGTCGCTCTTTTAAGGGAGTAGCAACATTTCAATATAAACTCGAGCTTCCTGGTTCAATGTCTCAGCTGTTTCAGAACTTTCAGCCAAGTTCAATCTTTTTGGTGTGAAAACTTAGTAAGTTGAGTGAATATTTTTTCCTGCAGTAGCCTGCAGTCTGTGCTCTGTGGTTTGGCACCTGTTTATAATTCTCACACTGAGACCGGCTGAGAGGAGCCGGGCGCAGCAGTTTCACTGGGTCCTGCCGAGCGTGAGCAGCAGCCCCTGCCTGGTCCCGTGGTGCGTCTCAGAACGGAAGTCTTGGCCCCGGGAAAGCGCAGTCAGGGCAGCGCTGCATGGTGGCCGTCGGCGGTGAGGGGAAGCAAAGAGGGGGTTCTCATCTCGAATGCATGCTCCCTAAATGAAACCAGACGCATAGCACACAGTAGGTGTCTGGTTTGTCAATGATAAGCCAGCAGTCCTCCCCAGCTTCCTGAGTGTTTTCCTCGTATTTCAGGAGCAGCTGACTGTTATGAGCCTGGCTGCCTGTTACAGTGCCCTGACCCGTGAGTGGTCTCCTCCCTCACGGCTAAATTAGGCCCCTCTGTGTTAAAAATCATTCCACAAGGTTCTCATGGACCCAGGGCTGACAACCGCTAGCTTACACTGGACTCTGTTCGCAAGAATCAGAATAGAATCATTCACTTTGCAGCTACTTAATCATTGGTTATATTTGTCAGAAGTTTCTTGAAGAAAGGGTACCTAGTGTTCCTTATTTGGAAAATAAGTACACCTTTAAAAAAAAAACAAACTAGGGCTGGGGATTTAGCTCAGTGGTTCCAGCGCCTGCCTCACAAGCTCAAGGTCCTGAGTTCAGTCCCCAGTACCAAAAAAAATATATCTACCAGTAGCTTAAATATGAATAGTAGATATTTCACCGTTCTGTCCCCTTTGCCTTTAAAATTTACAAAAGTAAGTTTATTTTCTGAGAAAGCAGGTTGAGCCAGGCAGACGGGTACTTTGTGTTTGCTAACACCACGCTGTCTTACCACAGCCACTTGGTCTTTCACCATGGCGCCGGGCGACAGTGGCCTTGTTCTCACGATGTGACGATTCAGGTGTGTTTTTGAACAAATTACTGCTGTCCTGTTCTAAATTTTTTAGGGATTTTTGCTCCAGTACTTAAGTGGTTTGGCTCAAGTACTCTGTTTACATTTCAGATTGGCATTTTAGCATTTCCTACAAGACACGGCCGATCTGGAAAGAACCTGAGCACGACGCGGTGTAACTTTGAGAATCCCTGTTGTGAATATTTTATAATGTGGAATGATGCTGAAATATTAAGGACTTGGGTAGTTGTATTTCCTGAATAAATGTATGTGAATTTTGTTAACTTGAAGTCTGTGGTTTACTCGGCCAGCAGTCTGCTTTTCTTCTTTATTGTCCAGACCTGCCTCGTGCAGTCGCTTCCCAGGCGAGCACAGTGGCGGAGGCCCTGGGGCAGCACTAGCTCCTCATTCTCTTCCAGAACTGGACTTTGAACCTGGACGCACCCTTGAGCGTAGCTGGCACACGGTGTGTTTTCGCCTCTCTGTTGGACGCCGTGCATCCAAGGTGGCTGTCCAGCGACACTTTCTCAGTCCGGGACTGCCATGGCAGCCGCTCTCTCATTCAAAGGCTTATTTAAAGTAAGTGTGTATGAGTTATGTCCTTGTTCTTTGGATTTGAAAAACAATTTTGCTACAGCCACAAATGCTGGAGGCTGTGTGCAAAGGAACTGGGACGCCGGTTAAAAAGGCCCACGGTGAGGCTCCCGTCCGTCCCTGGGTCTCAGACACCGAGTAGAGCGAGCAGAGCGCTGGACCTACAGGCCTCGGCCCGCTGCCCTGGCGTCCACCTCAGGAGGGCCTTGCTGGCCTTTCCCAGAATCGGCAAGGACGGAGCCCAAGTGGCTCAGGGCAGCTCAGGGTCCGGAATGCGGCGGGGTTTGGGGGTGCAGGGATGAGACACCTCCAGGATGAAGACACTTGGGGATCAGCACAGGGGTCCTCTGGTCGGTCAGAACCAGTGCTGGAGGCGGAGGGGGCCCAGCCCTGGGGAGTCACTTGGAGGTTAAAGCTGGGGGCGGGGGCCTGCCACTCCCCAGGCCTGGGTCTGCGCCCGGCACAGCATGGGGACGCCAGGCCCCCAGGGGATGGCTGGGAGCGTTTGGTGGGTAGCCAGACAGTCGGCCCGGGCCTGTAATCCCAACTACTGGGGAGGCTGAGGCAGGAGGATCACAGGTTTGAGGGCAACCTAGCACAACTCCCTCTCCAAAGAAAAGCGTTTGTCAGGGTTCAGACTCTGAATGTGCTGTGCACCTTCGTTCCCATAGCTGTCACCATTGTGGATTCCGGTGTTCACGTAAGTAAGGGTGTGGGGGTTCAATGTCTGACACACTTCAGGGGCAGGCAGCGTCCACGCGAGGTCCTGGAGATTCGCCCCGCAGAGCCCCCTTTCCACTGTATCCCTTCCTTGGGACAGCCACTGTGGTGGAGCTCACCTGTGGCCCCAGAGGCTGCAGCAGGAGAATTTCTGGAGCCCACATGCCACCCCCCAGCATATGCTGAGACCCCGAAAGGACAGGAGAGGACAGTGGGTATGTGCAGTGCCTCGGGGTGAGCACCTGAACCCCACACTCACAGCCGAGGAAGGCGAGAATGAATCTCGCACCCCGAGTTGGGAGAATGAGGAGACCCGGCCCTGTGCGGCCGCCTGTGTCCTCGAAGCCGAAGAGCAGCAGGGACGCGCAGTGGTGCGCAGGCGGGGTCCCCCCTCCCCGTGGGACCTGCGACCCGACCCTCGGCCACGCTGACGAGGGCACGGGCTTCTCTTCCTGGGGTCTTGCATCCACCCCACGGTTCGGTGGCGGAGGCGCCCTGGCCCAGGTGACGCCCAGGGCTGCCCAGGGTCGCCCACAGTCGCCGGGCGCGGCAAATCGGGGCCGAGGCAGTTCTCCCGAATCACCCTTTTATTAAAATTCCGTGCCTGGCCTCGACCCAGGGCTGCACGTGGGCCAGCCACAGAAAGCGAAAGCAACACAAGTGAATTATATCCACAGCAAAAACCCCACAAAGCTTTAAAAAATAGTAGCTGGACATGGTGGCGCACACCCGTCATCCCAGCACTCGGGAGGCTGAGGCAGGAGGATCGCTATGAGTTAGAAGCCAGTGTGGGTTACACAGTGAGACAAACGTTAAACCAGAACAGAAAGAAACAAGGCAGAGTTCTTTCGGGAAGGGGCCCTCGGTCCATCGGGAGAGGCAGG